TTCAACCTTTCCTCACTTCCGTTTCCGGCGCCCATAGTCAAGCCAGACCACAAACGGTCAGCCCCTCGCTTTCCCAGCCATATCCCCCGTTGCTGCCCTTTCCTCTACAATCACCTGGCTGGCCCAGGTTAAAGGTCACCACCACTTAAGTCTCCCCTGATCTCCTTTGACCGCCGGTAGCACCCGCCTCTTGACGTTACAGGGTAGACCTCTGTGTCCATCTCATATCTTCTCAATAGATTGTGAATGCCCGAATCTATACCGTAGAGGCGCTAGTGTGTCCACTTCATCTTCATGGCCCTCACTGACCCCAACCCTCGGTGGGTGCTCAAGAAATAACTATCGACTCAGTCGGAGTGGAACCATTCCCCAGGGGCCAACACATTATCTTGCATGTGATTCTATTAACAGATAGGCCAGATTCCATCCATGCCAAGGGTAGGGTGGAGCTAATTTCTCTTTATCGAGAAAAGGGACATGACCTATGATATCTCCCCTGCTGCTAATGTATGCAGATGATGATGTAACTGCTTTTCTGTGGAAAAGATCCTGCCTGCAGGAGCAAAAACATAAACCGAACGTGCTTGCCTCCATCATGATCTCTCCACTCGTCAGGCATGGGATTCTTACAACCACCCCTGTGGGAGGTTTTACTGTCCCCATCTTACAGATGGGGAAACTGAGGTGTAAAGAGATAGCAGGATTCAAACTCGAGTCTGACTTCAGAGTCCCAAGTCGTAAGGCCTCTGGGCTAGAGTGCTCTCTTCTGACACCCGGGCGGACTGTCTCCGGCTGACTTCCTAGTGGGCTTGGGGAGGAGGTGGAAGCAGGCGTGTGTGAGTACATATGGGCGTCACAGAGCCACACCCCCAGCCTGGGCGTCCTTCTAAGGAATACTGAGAAAGCAGAAAGGTTGCTCTCGTAAGAATCACATGGAGATGTTAAACTCACCCTCCTGGAGCTGGAAGGAGACCTCCCCCTGACTCCCACAGTTCTCTCCTGCTTCGTGGGGCCCAGCAACACCCCACTGCACACACCCACTGACACCAGGCCGGCCAGACACAGGAGCCCACAAGCTCCCCCGCCACCAGGCGCTCCACACCCCCTCAGCCCTCACTTCCCACAGAAACGCTTGCTTACGGGCACACGCGGCTTTGCACACGTGCAATCGCCCGGCAGCCGTGCAGTGACGACAGCCCCACCCCTGCCCGTCTCCACCGTGATCCTGCAGAGGACTTGGGCACTCCTGCCTACCGCCCTCACCTGTGGCCAAACCACTCCCCTCCACATCACCTCCCTGGACCCCCCTCAGCAGCCAGGAGGACGCCACAGGGCAGGGGCTTTCCTGGGTCCTCCTCGCCTACACACCCAGTGTCCTGTCCACCCAGGGAGATCCAGTCCAGCCAAAGTCGGTAGCAGAAAGGAAAAAGGAAAATCGAGATTAACAGTCTTTAGCCCTACCCGCTGAGATGTAACCACATCCCACAATGTCCTGGGCTCCACGGCTCTAAAAGATTTATCGTCCTCTGACCGCACGCTCGTTGATATTTCCCCAGCGCCACGCACCCGGTCCACTAGAGTGTCCTGTGAAGCTATTCCAGGGAGAAACTGAACTCAGATGGAACGTGGGCCAACAGGCGATTAAACCCTAAGGGGGGATCCCTTTCTGGTCCCGGAGAGAGGGACTGCGGGGAGGGTCCGGGCCTTCAGCTGTGGCCCAGGAAGCCTCTGTCCAAAGATGCCCGATTCCCTGGCACCCCTGAAGCTGAGCCTCTGGGCACCATGATGTGTGAGGTGGCTGAGGAAGGAAAGGTTGCCAGGAGCTGAGTTAAGCAACTTTTGGAGAAACACGGACAAAGAAATAGGAATAGGACTGAGGACCAGAGTTGAAAACAATCTCAGCTCCAGGCAGCCACTTGCCCTCGATGGCCACTCCTGTGTTACCAGCCCCCTGCCCCCGCTGGCATCTGCTCAAAGTCAGCAGCTGTGCAGCACGATGAGGGGTGGTGGTGACCTGGCTGGGCTCCCTGTGGCCTCAAACCCTGAGGACTCGGAAGAAAGCCCTGCTCTGCTTTTGGGAAACAGAGGCCAATTCCTCCTGTCGATGTCTCCGAGCTGCCCCGCCTGCCACCCAGCTCTGCTGTGCAGGGTCCCAGCATCCCAAGCAGATGGCAAGGGGTGGCTGCAAAGGGGTGGCTCCTGGGTCCCCAAACCAGGAGGCTGAGCCACAAGTCAGAACAAACAGGCGGAGGTGTGGTGGGTGAGCTGAGGGGATGTGAATGCGGGATATTCACATCAGGGAGGCCGGAGGCTTCCTCTTAATGGACTTGCACTAGGAGAGCTTTCCAAGCAGGAGCTCAAGTGCTGGCAACTCCTGGGGAGGCAGCCAAAGGGGCCCAGGAGCACGTGGGACAGGCCTCGGACGCCCCACGGATGACCCGGGAACGAGCAGCCGAGGAGGCGCTTGCAGCGCCAGGCAGTGTCCAGGCGGCAACCCCTGGGCAGGGGCCTGGGGGGCCGTTTCCTCTTTCTCTCTTTGTGGCTTGACACTGCAGCATGGACACAGGACAAAAACTTTCTGCCTCGGGACCAAGCTCGTGAAATGGGCTGCTGGCTAAGGCAGACACTCACATGGAATGCTGGAGAAACCGGGCCTGGGTTCACGGAATCGGGCCTTCCAGTGCAAAGCCTTCTAGCCGTGGGGTATGTAATCCAGGCTCTGCAGCCCATTATCAGGAACTAGGCCCCAGTGGCAGAAAGTAAAGCAACTGGCAGCCACCCTCAGCTTCTCCACCTGGGAAGGCCCTTCAGGCAGAAGTGGGCCCGTGTCCTGGGGAATTCCTGCTACACCTGTCTGCCCTCAGAGACCCCCTATGAGGGTGCCCATCACCCCTTCTCCTTGCCCCGTGTATCCGAGGGCGTCCCCCATGGGCCCCAGCCTCCTGCCAACCAGCCTCAACCTCGCTCACAGGACCACCCAGCCCTGCATCCCTCTGGTGACTCTGACCCACTGGGCTCTCTCCAGGCCACAGCCCCCAAAACTCTGATGCAGCTTCTCCCCACCCCCATCCTCTGAACCCAGAGCTAAAGGAAATTCTCAAGAGAAAGTGCACACTTCCAAGTCTCGCTCCCACCCAGGTACCCCAGATCTGTCAGCCAAGGACACCTCCCAGCCCTGCGCGGCCACGAGCACGTCTGCAAGCCCCGGCGAAGTGCTCCCTCTTGCTCTGGCCACTCCTGCAGGATGCTACGGTTGCTGCAGCCACGCTCGGACAGTCCTCGGGAGCCCTGGGGCCTGGTTCCTGTTCGGCAGCTGACTCACAGTGTCAACAGATCCCACTTTCCCCACCAGGAGCCCTTACGCTCAGGGCCTCTAATTCCCTATGACAGGCCCTCGACCTTCCAGCTGCTTTCCTCCCCAATCACATTCCATGCCTCCATTTCCTCTGCCTCCTGCCTTGGTCTCTTTACCTGATGATAATCCCTGACCTTTGGACAGCCTTTCACAAAGGGTTTCCATGGGCACCATCTTTCATCCTCTGCGACCACCTTCTGATGTGTCTCTGAGAGATAAAGTCACCTGCTCAAGGTCACACAGGCAAGGCTGGAATTCAAGTTTTCTGGCTCCGTACGCACTGGACAACCTCTAGCTTTGAGGAACCTCAGCAGCATCTCCAAGCACCCACTTTGGCAAGTGAGCTGCCACCCCCACCCTAGTCTCCCATACCCTCAACTTGGTCTTTCTGGACTCCTAAAGGTCTTCTCCAGGCCCAGCCTCATTTATTCTTCTACCCCCAAGAGAGCCACAAAGACCTAACAAAGTCCCCCACATCCTAAGACTTCTCTGGGGGTCGTAAATTGCCCTTCTGTGAAGTAGAACACAGGTGACGCTGACTGTGACCCTCGCCCAGAGCTTCTCAAAGGACTGGTGAGGGCAGACGCAATCCTAGCACACTCCTGGTGGCTGCAGACTCATCTTTCAAACATCACCCAAATAAGCCTCTGGGCCCAAAGGCTTCCAAGCATCATAGAAGAGAGGCAACTCCCAGACACCCAGGAGCGAAGGAAAAGGCAGGGCCCGGGAACTACGGATGGATGCAGCCCTGCACATTCCTCGGGACGCATGTTCAGGGAGAGTGAGAAGAGCTGAGAACTGTCCACCTCTCCTCTCCTTCCCAAAGCTGGATGAATTCATGAGCCCAGGACAATGCTAGGACAGGTCTCCATCTGGGTCACCAACAGCGTCCTCAGGGTTGAAGCATCTCCAGGCATCGCTCTTTCACGTCCATTATAAAGGACACCAACCTTCTCTCAGCTGTCTGCCTTCCTCAGTCCAGTGTACCCAACAGATATTAAAGGTGGTCCCGCAGTGCCAGAGGCAATGCCCCTCATCATCACCACAGTGGGAGGATGGGCATTTACCCTTCCCATCCACCAGGGTCTGAGGGCCATGGATTCTCCCCTCGCAGGGCCAGGCTGCCCCGGCACCACGCTGTGCCAGGGCCATTTCTTACAGTCACGCTAGGAACTCCTGCCATGCTGAGGACACAAATTCTTCAAGCCCCGGGTACCATCACTCCAGACCATGTCAAGGCCAGAACCATCCGACACCTTAGTAATGAGAGCACTTCCTCACACCCCTACCAGGGGCACCACCATGCGCCCACAGGCTGCCCACCGCCACTCCAGAACCAGTCCAAGTGTGGTGCCCGTCATCAGTCTGCACTGAGGGCTGCGCCCGCCTCACACCTGGGCAGCCACCACCGCACCAAGGTGGGGGTGAGTCTTCTGACACCCGTGCCGGGAAAACCACGCTGCCTGTGCCAGACCCACGCTGCCCACGCCCGTGCCACGGGTGTCACCATTCCCACACTGGCGCCAGGGGCTCCACGGATCTCACACCTGCCACACCGCGCGCCCTGGACACTGCCCAGCTGCCGCACCGCTCACACCGCGCCCGAGTCCGGGGCCCGGCCCGCCGCGCCCGCGGCCCCCCTTACCTCCAGCCAGCCGCAGGGCTCGGCCCGCCGCCGCCACCGCGACCGCCACCTCCATCCTGGGCTCCCCAAGGCCCCAATTCACTAACGCCGCTTCCGCAGGGCGCCGGCGCCGGCGCGAAGGCCGCCTCCGCCCCCCGGGGGACGCTGCGTCCTTTACGTAAACCCCACTCCGCCGCCAGCGGTGACCATGGCGACGACCGCGGGGCGGCAGCGCCCCCTGGTGCCAGGGAGGGGAGCGGCGCCGAGGCAGGAGTGAGCGGAGTCTTTCGCGGGGCTCCACGCGTGGGGGCGGTGGGCGCAGGACTCCAGCCGCCGCTGCAGCTTCGTGGGCGGCCGGGAGGGGCAGGACCGGCCGCGCTGCATGCGGGGAAGGGAGCCGCCTGGGTCCCCCTCCTTCAGGCCCCGCGTGACCGGGTTTAGCGTGGGAGAGAGGCAAAAAAGCATGTAGGATCACTGGAGAACTGGTTCATTTGCGGGGAGGAAAGAGAGAGATGGGTTCCACCTCCTCGGGATGCTGAGCGCTCCTTGGGGGGCGGGGTGGTCAGAGCACATCATAATCATCTGTGTCCTCCCCTCACCCTCTACCCCTGCAGGGCCCAGCATCGTGCCTGGCATCCAAAAGGGCGCTTGGTCAATTTTGAATTCCTGGAAAATAAAGAAAATTGCCCTTCCTATTCTGCTTCACACGCATCCATTCATTCACTTAACACACCTTCCCTGAGAGCTAGCCTTGAGCCGGAGCAGCGCTGTCCAGTGCCTTGTGCTGAGCTCAGGGAGTGAGTGAGCACAAAGGCAAGCAGAGCCCAGGCCCTGCCCTTCAGTTCAGTCCAGGGGGTACGAGACCATCACGGTACAGGGTGCTTGTGGTGTAGGAGCTCAGCAGAGAGGGCGGGTGGAGCGCTCTGAGGGGCACTTAAGCAAGCCGTGGGGGAGGGCGTTGGGTCTGGAGGCTGAGATGACCCAGCTGGGTCTCAAAGGTGGAGTAGAATTCAGAGGCAAAAAGGGGAGTCGCATGTTTCAGCAGAGGGAGTGCCTCTAAAATGTTCTCTGGGCCCTGTCGTCATCCCAAGAAAACAGGGCGATACACAGCAGTTTAGTGTAAGTGGGAGTGTAAAGAGCTACGTGTGCAGGGCCTGTGGTGCAGTAGCCGCCTGAAAACTAGCCGGACTTTTGGGGTTAAGGTGAGACTCTGAGTCCAGGGCAGTCTTCCCCTCTGCTGAAGCAGGTGGGACCTACTTCTGGAAGGAGTTCTGTATTACCCGTGGTTATTTTGAAGGCAAACTCCGGCTTATTTTAAAAAAAAAGAAAAATGGGGGTGGGGAGAGCAAATACTGGGTGGGATACCTCAGGGCATTCAAGAAAGAGTTGGGCCCTCCCAGCCTCAGGAAGGGCCGGGTATCAGGGAGGCTTTAAGGACTGACTGTAACATAGCAGTTTGGGAGCCTCCTGTCTAGATCATTGTAATTAATCAGAATCAAAACTGCCAAATGTAATGTCCCTTGGTTCAAAGTTCTAGATTCCCAAAAGAAAGAATCTTGTTGGTCCAGCTTGAGCCATGGTCAATCATAGCAGCTACATTCTACCCCCTTAGCTGCCCAGTGCACACAGATTCACACATGTACACACACACACACACACACACACACACACACACACATACACACACACATCTTCCTCCCATTCATTCAAAGTCATCTTCACCAAACGATATTGTGTTCCAATATTCCCTGGTCGGCCACCTCCAGACTTGCCGTCATGATCAAGATCAAAGTTCAAGGTCTTCAAGGTGATGTCCATGTCTCTTTTTCCTCAAGGTTTATGGTGATCCCATCTGGGCATCTAACAGCTGAATTAAAGGGTGCATTTAACTACCGCAAACATGTCCTTTGAATCCTCGCTGCTTAAAGGGTGGCATTAGCACCATTGAGGAGCTTGTGAGAAATGCAGAATCTCAGGCCCCCACATCTCAGCAGATTGAAAAGCTCCCCGGCGGTTTGTATGCACATTACAGTTGGAGAAGCACTGCTATTATAAATATGGATGGAAAGGAAAAGGCAATGTATGAAAAATGCTTTTCAATGGTGATCACTGCTGTTTAAAAAGAAAAGGGGGAGGGGTGAGTTATTTAATCTTCAGCAACTCCAGTAACCAACAAGGAAATAACCGACTCCAGTAACCATCAAGGTAGCGGCTGCAGTCTTTATTTTTGCAACCGGTTGCAAACTCCTAAAAGGTGTTTAGGACTTTCTTCCTCTAATTCTTTATTCTTTGGTTCACTTGCCTCCTGCCTGCATCTCATTTTCCTAGTGGACCGTTCCGAGTCTCCATCCTTGAGGGCCTGAGCCGTCGGTGATCCTGGCTGTAAAACACCACAGCAGAATTCCGTCTGCCTTTACCACCGGGCGTGACGGTGTAGGAGGTACTGCACAGGGACCCTGCGCGCCACCCATATCCCTCGTGTGCGTGTGTGTGTGTGTGTGAGATGACGATCCCCCAGTGGCCAGGTGGCAGTCCCAGTGTCCAATTCAGTGGAACCGTTATTGTGCCTCCTGGTGGAAATGTTCCTCCCTTCAGTTCTAAGACCACCAGACAATCAAAACTCAGAACTGCCTGAACAGGAGGCAAACGACAGGCATTTTGACAATGGTGAAACTCACATCACCGCCTCCACCCCTAGTTCCCAGACCCTTTGGAGGAAACATACCATAACAGATGTCTGGTTCAGAGCGCACATCCACTGGGGGCCTTACCTGGTCCAGCCACCAGGCTGCTCCCCCTCTACTCCAATATCTCGTTTGTCCTCCCCTCTGAACGCCCTCAGGCCCCATTCTGACAGAGTTTGACCAGGTGTCTTTGGAGACAGCTACGAGCGTTGTGAGCAGAGTGGAGCAGGGGAGGAAGACAAGAGTGAGGGTTCCAGAATGGGCCACAAGCTACCGATTGGTCCCGGTCCAGCCGCCAGGCTGTGTTCCCTCAGCTCGGTGCCAAATTCCCGCCCTGGCCTCAGTATCTCTCTAGGTCCCAGTGGGGATAACAACATGTCTCCTCCTCCCAGGGGTGCTGTGTGGATTAACTAATTAATGAGTGTGACATCGTCTGCTTCCACAAAGGGGCTGATTAAATGCTGAGCGTTGTTATTAGAGTAATGGGGGGCGTGTGACAGGCAGAGTAGACTGGAGACAGATCTGCTCCCCTCGCCTCCTCCCCAGCCCCTTCCTCCGTCTGCCCCACGCTCTGCAAGCTGAACGTCTTGCAAACCAAAACCAAGATGATTTTTGGCACCCCCGAAGTCGGTGTCTAACTTTTGCTCATTTCCCCTGTACTGGAACGTGAGTCAAGGCCCAGCTTCGTAGAGTAATCTGTCTCTGACAGCTGGCACAGCTGTGCCCTGCCCCAGACTCTCAGCTCCCAGCAGCTGCAGGATGGGATGGCTTGGCTAGTGATTGCATCAGGTTAGAGCTGCCTGCAGAAAGACAACTGCAGAATTCCTGAGCTGGGTACCAACCCCCTGACTGTCTTGCCCCGTGGTCCCAGCGACTGACTGCCTTTCCTCACAGCCCGAGGGAGGGAAAGCCAATGTGGCATACTGGCTTAAGGCTGGGGGAATTCAAAGCATGCAGTGTTTTGAAGTATATAGTATCTGCTTATGGCCACGGGAGATCCAATGACTACATTTTAGCTTGGATGCAGGGTATCGGGTAATGGATGAAATCATAGTTCCGTACATGGCGACTTTAGCCTGGCTTGTTCCCAAATGCAAAAATCCAGGGAGGCCCCTGAGTGAAATAGTGAACGTGACTTTCCCAGTAGTCAGTGTGAGATCATTGCCCACTCCCAGTTGCTGGGTCCCCCATCTCTGAGTGTTGTACAGTGCTGGCTCTCACCCAGAATCCTGGTACCCATGATGGGGTGGATGGGAAGGAATCACTCAGTCCCACCACCAGGTAAATGTTTGCATCTGACAACCAAGGGGAATGTTGTTTACGCACATAGCACACACTCAGCCTGCCTGGAGAGGCGAGAGAAAAGCTCTGGAGGCTGAGCTGTCAGACTCCCACAGGGAGAGAAGTTAGCCAGTTGCAGAGGTCTAGACAATGCATAAGAATTGGGGTTTGGGACACCTGGACCCAGCTCGGGATCGTCCTGGCTATCTCATGGCAGGATTTCAATCCTCCTTCCCTCTGAATACAGCTTCTTTCCTGCCTCCTTGTTGCTGCTGCTGTGAGGTACAGGTATGTGTCGTGGGGGCAAATAGCCTGGAAGTAGGGGCTGGACCAGCCAGGAAGGAAAAGATCAGCCCCCACTGGGATGTGCTGAGGTCCTGCACGAGAAGTAAGCTGTCCCCTCCCACCAGAGGGGCGCCTGCAGCCCATACCTTTTACCCGAGTAAGCATAGTTTGCCGTCAGGGTCTCGACAAATCTCTGTGGTGATGGAGTGATAATGGTGGAGATGCTGGAGGAGGTGAGAGAGATGGTAGTCTAGGTGGTGGTGATGAGAGGGAGGGGAAAGAGGACTGATGGCTTCCAAGGGGTTTTTCCATTCCCACCTCATCCTCCATTCACTTGGGTATCACCGGCACTTTCACTGTGATGCCCAGAGGATTGGGGGATCCTTGCATCTCATTAAACCGGCCTATTTGTAAGTGTCTGCTCCCTAATGAGCATTGTAGTAACTAGTTTTTCTCCTTGGGGCACTAGGGAGCTATGGGATGTAAACACAGATGTCTCGGGGGAAAGATTGCCTGCTTACGGACTAGTGGGATTCATCTGCACTTTCTGGACAATAATAACAAGAGTAGAGGGTACTCTTGAGGGTGTCCATCCATCCATCCACCCATTCACCCAACAACTCATTCTCCCACCTGCATCTTCACCCACCCATCCATCCACCCACCCATTCACCCACTCACCCATTCATCTACCCAGTCTGTCCATTGCCCACTTACCTACCCATCCACTCACTCCTCCATCCACCTACCCGCCCATCTACTCATCCACATATCCATCAACCCACCCATCCATCCACCTATCTTTCCATCCATCCATCCATCCACCGATCCATCTACCCAACTATGTCCTAAATCATGTCCAGTTGATTTTTCC